GACGTTATTATAGACGTAAAAAGGCCGGCCTAGTCTGAAGTACAAAGTACAAACAAGACTGTGATTAATACTTTATATGAGTACACGGAAAGAAAGGCTTGGTTAAATTTACAAAGTTTTTCTTGGTTAGCTGTATATTGGTTGCTATAACGATTGACTTGGTTACCATAATCATGTACACTTGGTTAGTCTGGCAATTCAAACTTGATAGGGACTGTTGGTGTTTATAACCAACGCAATTGGTTAAAGTAACCAAGAAATTGTATTCCGATTGGTTATCCAGAAGGAACCACGGCAATTAGTTCTCATAACATCAAATTGAAATTAAAAAAAATAAAAACAAACGACCATAGCTTATAGCATAACCAAGTTCACGGTGAATTCGGTAGAAAGGGGTATCACCGATTAAGGTTAATTTCAATCTCGGCTCACTTACTTCTTATTCCTTACTAGTCCTAAGAATTAGAACAAGAAGTAACTTAAACCGAGAATAAGGTTTGCATCGATAGAAACGGACATAAGTTGTTTAGTGCAGCTATGGAAGTAACAAGCGTGAAAGAATTGTTGGAAAATTGGAGATTTGAGAAGTTCGTCTCAATATTTGAAGGCAAGTTCTGTTACGTTTCTACATTTAAATTACATTTTAAATTAATAAATTTTGCGAAGTGTGAATTTTCCGCATGATCGTAAAAATAAAAATATTATAGTTGAATCGGGCAGTTTTTTTAACCAAAAAATGAAACCGTTTATAGCCAATTTGGACCATTTATGTAATTTTAACCTTACGACAAACTGTTAATAAGAAAAATATTTTCACCAATGAACTGAGCTATAAAAAATATTTTATTTAAGAGAATGTTTCAATTTTTAGTGCTTTGGTCAATTAATTGTACCAATAAAGATATAGTTGGTACAATTAAGTACGATCGTTGGTTCCATCAATCAAGTAACTTGGTAAAGTCAACCAAAAGATAAAGGTTACAATAATCAAGTAATGATAGTTTAGAGCGACCAAGTCTACCAAGTACTATTGGTTGCTCCAACTATTGCAGTCGAACTAAGTGCCGTTGGTACGTGTAACCAAGAAATCAGCTGGCGCATATATAACCAAGGCACTTGGTTTCAGGCGACCATTTTTTTGGTTATCCCAACCAAGTCTTTTTCTCCGTGTAGTTTTTTCATACATGAAGAAATGTTTTTTATGTGTATCATATCGATTGTTTTATTTTGTTTATTAAAATTTGATACACACTCGTTGCCCATACAGCACAAATCTTGCAGTTACATTGCAGCTACATTGCAGCAAGATTTGTGCTGTATGGGTTTTGAATATAAATAATATAGAGGCTTAGTCTGAAATACAAAGTACAAACAAGACTGTTTGAGCAGACCATCGAATATTCGAGAGAATATTCTCTCGAAGCATGTAAAAATTGTGAGCTTCGAGAATATTCTTGCAAAGCCTCGAGTTTGTTTGCCGGTTGCGAGACAAACAAGCTCGAGGCCGCCAGCGAACGTTTATAATAACAATCCGCGACATTAATCTTGTCCGCAACCGCTTTAGCGACCACGTGCCGTTCACGATAGCACGCCACCGCTAGCCAATAGGGCTTTCCCGCGAAAAAATCCCGTTGTCTGCCGGCGACACGACACGCGACGATTGGCCGAGGAAAATCGTTCTAACGGGACTCTCGAGCCCCTTAAAAGCGCGTCTCAAGCTCGAAAAAGCGCTGATCGCTCTTAGCTTTTCGCACCTCCGCACGTATCGCATAACCGCAGTTTACCGCTCTTTATCTCGACTTACGCTACCCGCACGGACTTAACGCACGCTCGCATTTCACTTATCACGACTTCGGCTTCGCTTTCTGAACTCACGCGCACGGCTTATACTTATTCTTGTGTCTTGTAACTTGGCTGACTTTATTTTGTGCTCATTAAACTCTGTCTTTTCTTTTCTGTGAAAACTCTGGTGTGCTTCCTTCTCCTCTTAACGAACGCGCTCGCGAACAAGACTGTGATTAATAATTAATAGTTTTTATACAGTGTATGTGGAAATGTATTTAGAGCTGATTATATTTTTTCAAAATATATAATCTAGATTTAATAATTATAATGTTTTTCAATCTCGTCTATCCCTATTATAGCCGAGTAAGTCCAAAAACAACAAATATATATTCGTAATTATATAAAAGTCAAGATGACATCATTTTGACTTTATTTTAAGTTTCATCTTGATTTCTTGTTCTACTAGGTGAGATAGTACTGAAACTGGCGCTTTTTTGGCGATTTGAGTGACCTCTAATGGCGATTTTGGCGATTTGGGTGACCTCTAATGGCGATTTGACAGGTTAAATATCTGGCAACCCTGACCGAGTTATCGAGAAACCATTGTCAAGCCGAATCCAACTACCAATGGAGTCCTTCGACGAAATCGTGGAGAAGCAGAATCAGCTGATCACCTCCATGTCGAAGGCAACCACCAACTTTAAGAAGCTGGGTCAAGCTAGGATGACCCATGCGACCACCATGAGCCGAATTGAACGAGTGAAGGAGCTGTTCCGAGAAATCAGACTGCTGGACGCCAAGCTGCGATTCCTGTCCGATGCAAAATCCTTGCTGGAACATCCATACTTCAAGGACAACCTATTTGAACGCTGTGAGGAGATCAAAGACGCAACCATCGACTACATGACCGAAGTCGCCGCGCAGACTTCCCAGAACGCCAGCCTCGATACATCTCAAGCAAGTACCGATCACATCGTGACGCGCCCGATCTCGCGCTTACCGCGCATCGATTTACCAAAGTTCGATGGGTCGTTCGAACGATGGGAAACCTTTCGCGATCGGTTCAAATCAATGATTATTAACAATCCGAACTTAACCAATGTCGACCGACTGCACTATCTGAGTGCGAGTGTTACCGGGTCAGCTGGCGATGCAATAAGTCAGTTGACCGTGACCGATGCAAATTTCCAAGTCGCTTGGCAAATCTTGTCGGCGCGATATGAAAATATACGTCGGCTCGTTAATTCTCATTTAGAAGCGCTCTTATCGTTACCGATCGTTGTACAAGAAACCGCGAAGGACTTGCAAACATTACGAGATACCGCTAATATGTCGATACAAGCGTTGAAAAAGCTTGGTCGTCCGGTAGAAACCTGGGATGACATTCTAATACACCTTGTATCTCAAAAACTTGATAAAGCTTCGCGGAAAGCATGGGAATTAAAATTAAGCGAGTCCCAAGAGTTACCGTCGTATACCGAACTCAACGAGTTTTTGGACAATCGCGTCCGTGCCTTCGAAGTTATATCGCCATTCAAACAAAGCAGCGCAACGAAACCAACCGCGTCGAAATCCAAAGCAACTAAATCTATTTCCTCACATTCGACGGCGGTGAAATTCGAATGCGTAATTTGTAAAGGACAACATCCTCTGTTTAAATGCGTCCAATTCTTATCGTACACGCCCGAACGTCGATTCGAATTTATTAAAACTAGTAAACGCTGTTATAACTGTCTCGCCGCGAATCATACGTTACGGGATTGCAAAAACGAATACCGGTGTCGAGAGTGTCAACAAAAACATCACTCGCTTCTTCATACCTCGAAGTCAGCAGGGTTACCGTGCGACGAATCTTCCAGTTCGAACGAGACAACCAAGACAAATCAGAACGACGGTATTGTCTCGCTCACCGTGTCAAGGCCTTTGACCGCGACTTCAGCTGTCCTCCTCGCTACCGCACGCGTTCGAATATATTCGCCGCGCGATCGCTTTGTTTGTGCTCGCGCGTTAATCGATCAAGGTTCCGCGGCCACATTAATTTCCGAAAACCTTGCACAACTGCTTCGTCTTCCCCGAATCAACCAAAGTATTTGCATCACCGGCATCGGGAATACGAAATCCTCTGCTCGTTGAGCTGCCCGCGTACGCGTCAGCCCCGCCACAAGCAACGCACCTGCGTATTCGACAACGGCAATTGTATTGCCATCGTTGACCCATTATACACCGGCGCGCGTACCAACACAAGCCCAATGGGACCACGTCAGTAATTTAGAATTAGCTGATCCTGAATTCCTTAATTCTGATCCCATCGACCTTATCCTAGGGGCCGACTTATATAGCGTCATCCTTCGGGACGGACTCCGAAAAGGCGCTATTAACGAACCTATTGCTCAGAATACCGCTTTCGGCTGGATTCTTTCCGGATCCATTGCCGATTCCAATTCCAATACCGTGTGTACACACCACGGGACCGTTTTCGACGGTCTCGAACGA